CCTCGGCTGGCCAAATGCATTGGATTTGTTTGCTTTGGTATGTTTTCGCTTGTCCGTCGGCTGCACTGGTCTGGTCGCCTCAGGCCCGCCCGCCGCCGTTCGGTCGCTCGGCCCCTCGGCTGGCCCAATTCACTGGTTTTGTTGTTGTTTTGTTTGTTTTCGCCTGTCCGTCGGCTGCACCGGTCGCCCTGCGCACGCCCGCCGCCTTTCGGTCGCTCGGCCCCTCGGATGGCCCCATTCCCTGGTTTTCTTTGTTTCTGGTTGTTTTCGCTTGTCCGTCGGCTGCACTGGTCGCCTCAGGCTCGCCCGCCGCCCCGCGGTCGCTCGGCCCCTCGGCTGGCCAAAAGCATCGGTTGTGTTTGTTTTTGTTTGTTTTCGCTTGTCCGTCGGCTGCACTGGTCGCCCCGGGCCCGCCCGCCGCCGTTCGGTCGCTCGGCCCCATCGGCCGGCCCAACTCACTGGTTTTGTTTGTTTTTGTTTGTTTTCGCTTGTCCGTCGGCAGCACTGGTCGCCCTGCGCACGCCCGCCGCATTTCGGTCGCTCTGCCCCTCGGCTGGCACCATTCCCTTGCTTTCTTTGTTTCTGTTTGTTTTCGCTTGTCCGTCGGCTGCACTGGCCGCCTCAGGCTCGCCCGCCGCTCCGCGGTCGCTCGGCCCCTCGGCTGGCCAAATGCATCGGTTTTGTTTGTTTTTGTTTGTTTTCGCTTGTCCGTCGGCTGCACTGGCCGCCCCAGGCCCGCCCGCAGCCGTTCGGTCGCTCGGCCCCTCGGCTGGCCAAATGCACTGGTTTTGTTTGATTTTGTTTGTTTTCGCTTGTCCGTCGGCTACACTGGTCGCCCTGCGCACGCCCGCCGCCTTTCGGTCGCTCGGCCCCTCGGCTGGCCCCATTCCCTGGCTTTCTTTGTTTCTGTTTGTTTTCGCTTGTCCGTCGGCTGCGCTGGCCACCTCAAGCTCGCCCGCCGCCCCGCGGTCGCTCGGCCCCTCGGCTGGCCAAATGCATTGGTTTTGTTTGTTTTTGTTTGTTTTCGCTTGTCCGTCGGCTGCACTGGTCGCCTCAGGCCCGCCCGCCGCCGTTCGGTCGCTCGGCCCCCCGGCTGGCCCAATGCATTGGTTTTGTTTGCTTTTGTTTGTTTTCGCTTGTCCGTCGGCTGCACTGGTCGCCCTGCGCGCGCCCGCCGCATTTCGGTCGCTCTGCCCCTCGGCTGGCCCCATTCCCTGGCTTTCTCTGTTTCTGTGTGTTTTCGCTTGTCCGTCGGCTGCACTGGTCGCCCCAAGCTCGCCCGCCGCCCCGCGGTCGCTCGGCCCCCCGGCTGGCCAACTGCACTGGTTTTGTTTGTTTTTGTTTGTTTTCGCTTGTCCGTCGGCTGCACTGGTCGCCCCAGGTCCGCCCGCCGCCTTTCGGTCGCTCGGCCCCTCGGCTGGTTGAATTCACTGGTTTTGTGTGTGTTTTGTTTGTTTTCGCTTGTCCGTCGGCTGCGCTGGTCGCCCTGCGCACGCCCGCCGCCTTTCGGTCGCTCGGCCCCCCGGCTGGCCCCATTCCCTGGCTTTCTTTGTTTCTGTTTGTTTTCGCTTGTCCGTCGGCTGCACTGGTCGCCTCAGGCTCGCCCGCCGCCCCGCGGTCGCTCGGCCCCTCGGCTGGCCCAATTCATCGGTTTTGTTTGTTTTTGTTTGTTTTCGCTTGCCCGTCGGCTGCGCTGGTCGCTCCAGGCCCGCCCGCCGCCGTTCGGTCGCTCGGCCCCTCGGCTGGCCAAATTCACTGGTTTTGTTTGTTTTTCTTGTCCGTCGGCTGCACTGGTCGCCCTGCGCACGCCCGCCGCCTTTCGATCGCTCGGCCCCACGGCTGGCCCCATTCCCTGGCTTTCTTTGTTTCTGTTTGTTTTCGCTTGTCCGTCGGCTGCACTGGTCGCCTCAGGCTCGCCCGCCGCCTTTCGGTCGCTCGGCCCCTCGGCTGGCCAAATGCATTGGTTTTGTTTGTTTTTGTTTGTTTTCGGTTGTCCATCGGCTGCACTGGTCGCCCCGGGCCCGCCCGCCGCCGTTCGGTCGCTCGGCCCCTCGGCTGGCCCAATTCATTGGTTTTGTTTGTTTTTGTTTGTTTTCGCTTGTCCGTCGGCTGCACTGGTCGCCCCAGGCCCGCCCGCCGCCGTTCGGTCGCTCGGCCCCTCGGCTGGCCAAATGCATCGGTTTTGTTTGTTTTTGTTTGTTTTCGCTTGTCCGTCGGCTGCACTGGTCGCCCTGCGCACGCCCGCCGCCTTTCGGTCGCTCGGAGCCCTCGGCTGGCCCCATTCCCTACAAGCGAAACAAACAGAAACAAAGAAAGCCAGGGAATGGGGCCAGCCGAGGGGCCGGGCGACCGAAAGGCGGCGGGCGAGCCTGGGGCGACCAGTGCAGCCGACGGACAAGCGAAAACAAACAAAAACAAACAAACCCAATGAATTTGGCGATCCGAGGGGCCGAGCGACCGGAAAGCGGCGGGAGAGGCTGGGGCGACCAGTGCAGCCGACGGACAAGCGAAAACAAACAAAACAAAGAAAACAATTGAATTCGGCCAGCCGAGGGGCAGAGCGACCGAAACGCGGCGGGCGAGCCTGGGGCCACAAGTACAACCGACGGACAAACGAAAACAAACCAAAACAAACAACACCACGGAAATGAGCCAGCCGAGGGGCCGAGCGACCGAAAAGCCGCGGGCGAGCCTGGAGCGACCAGCGCAGCCGACGGACAAGCGAAAACAAACAAAAACAAACAAAACTAAGCATTTGGCCAGCCGAGGGGCAGGGCAGCGCGACCGAAAGGCGGCGGGCGAGCCTGAGGCGACCAGTGCAGCCGACGGACAAGCGAAAACAAACAGAAACCAAACGAAACCAAGGACTGGGGCCAGCCGGGGTGCCGAGCGACCGAAAGGCGGCGGGCGTGCGCAGGGCGACCAGTGCAGCCGACGGACAAGCGAAAACCAACAAAAACAAAGAAACCCAGCGAATCTGGCCAGCCGAGGGGCCGAGCGACCGCGGGGCGGCGGGCGAGCCTGGGGCGACCATTGCAGCCGACGGACAGGCGAAAACAAACAAAAACAAACCAACCCAACGAATTGCGCCAGCCGAGGGGCCGAACGACCGCGGGGCGGCGGGCGAGCCTGGGGCGACCAGTGCAGCTGACGGACAAGCGAAAACAAACAAAAACAAACCAAACCAAATAATGGGGCCAGCCGAGAGGCCGAGCGACCGCGGGGCGGCGGGCGAGCCTGGAGCGACCAGCGCAGCCGACGGACAAGCGAAAACAAACAACAACAACCAAAACCATGAATGGGGCCCGCCGAGGGGCCGAGCGACCGCGGGGCGGCGGGCGAGCCTGGGGCGACCAGTGCAGCCGACGGACAAGCGAAAACAAACGAAACGAACAAACACACAGAAATCGACCAGCCGAGAGGCCGAGCGACCGCAGGGCGGCGGGCGAGCCTGAGGCGCCCAGTGCAGCCGACGGACAAACCAAAACAAACAAAAACAAACAAAACCAAAGAATTGGGCCAGCCGAGGGGTCGAGCGACCGAAAGGCGGCGGGCGAGCCTGTGGCGACCAGTGCAGCCGACGGACAAACGAAAACAATCAACCACAAACAAAACAAAGGAATGAGGCCAGCCGAAAGGCAGAGCGACCGCTGTGCGGCGGGCGAGCCCGGGGCGACCATTGCAGCCGACGGGCAAGCGAAAACAAGCAAAAAACAAACAAAACCAAGGAATGGGGCCAGCCGAGGGGGCGAGCGACCGAAAGGCGGCGGGCGAGCCTGGGGCGACCAGTGCAGCCGACGGACAAGCGAACACAAACAGAAACAAACAAAAACAAGGAATGGGGCCAGCCGAAGGGCCGAGCGACCGCGGGGCGGCGGGCGAGCCTGAGGCGACCAGTGCAGCCGACGGACAAGCGAAAACAAGCAAAAGCAAACAAAACAAAAAAATGAGCCAGCCGAGGGGCCGAGCGACCGAGACGCGGCGGGCGAACCTGTGGCAACCAGTACAGCCGAAGGACAAGCGAAAACAAACAAAAACAAACAAAACCAGTGCATGGGGCCAGCCGAGGGGCCGAGCGACCGCGGGGCGGCGGGCGAGCCTGGGGCGACCAGTGCAGCCGACGGAGAAGCGAAAAAAAACAAAAACAAACAAAATCAAGGAATGGGGCCAGCCGAGGGGCCGAGTGACCGCGGGGCGGCGGGCGAGCCTGAGGCGACCAGTGCAGCCGACGGACAAGCGAAAACAAACAGAAACAAACAAAACCAAGGAATGGGGCAAACTGAGGGGGCGAGCGACCGCGGGGAGGTGGGCGAGCCCGGGGCGACCAGTGCAGCCGACGGACAAGCGAAAAAAAACAAAACAAAAAAAAACAAAACCATTGCATGGGGCAAGCCGAGGGGCCGAGCGACCGCGGGGAGGTGGGCGAGCCTGGGGCGACCAGTGCAGCCGACGGGCAAGCGAAAACAAACAAAAACAAACAAAACCAAATAGTGGGGCCAGGCCGAGCGACCGCGGGGCGGCGGGCGACACTGGGGCGACCAGTGCAGCCGACGGACAAGCGAAAACAAACAAAACAATCAAAACCAAGGAATGGGGCCAGCCGAGGGGCCGAGCGACCAGCGTCGCCCAGGGAAGTGACAACCAAACCCTAGAAGTAGATTAGGTTTGCGCCCGCCCCCCAAAAAAACAAAAAATATAGATTCTTGAAATAGGAAGGCGCTTAAAGTAGATTGGGATCTGGGAATCCAAAAATACCTACTTTCAACGACCGGTGGGTATTCAAAACATAATTTAAAACATCGTCTGGGATCGTCTTTTCGAGTATTGAGGAACATTTAAAAAATAAGTTAAAAAATCGTCTGGGATCGTCGTTTCGAGTATTTGTGGCAATGTTTTGAAAAAAGGACTATTCTTAAATTGGTCGTCCAACAATCCCCTGTAGGGAGACACGCCCGGCCTAAACCTTGGGCCAGGATCACGTCTGGCAACACCCGCATGTCCCTCCCCACGGCCTCCAGCCGGCCCCGCGTGGCCGTCTCCTCCAGCTCCGCCTCCGAGGCCAGCTTGCGCGCCTCCTGCAGAGCGCTCTGCGCCCTCACGGCGGCCTTGGAAGAACAACCAGAAACACATAAGCATAAAGTGTTGGCGCTCCGCGCGGGTTTCTCGGATCCGCGCCTGGGCCCTCCTCCCTGGCGCGCGGAGCGCGCCAGGGGCGGCGCCGGAGGCGCCGCCGGGGGGCCCAAGCGCGGATCCAAGAAACCCGCGCGGAGCGCCACAAAAGTTCAAGTTTATGTAGTGTTTTTCTTCTTCGAGGCCTGGTCCCGCTCGTCCATCTCCTGGCGGACCCGCGCCACCTCCGCCACACCGGCGATGCGATCTGCGGCCAGCGCGCGGGTGGCGTCCTCCAGGCCCGCCTCGCCGAGGGCGGCCCGGTCCTCCAGCTCGTTGGCCTTGGACTGCCGAATGCTGAGCGCTGACTTGGTCTTGCTGATGCCATGGAGCAGGCACTCGTAGCGCTCCTTGGCCTCAGCCACGCGGTCCTTCTCGCCGAAGAGGACATCGCGGAGACCGCCGATCTCAATGGTTCGCCTGCCGAACTCCTCCTGTATGTAGTCGTCACCATCCATTGCTCCCACGACGTCGCGAGCGCAGGGCCCTGCTGTGACAACGCCGCTTGAGCCAAAACAGATACGGAGACGAACGTGCCTGATGATGACGACAGTGAGGATGATGCTGATGAGGATGATTCAGATGATACTCATGACGACGAGTGATGGTTTAGATGGGTACGAACACGGGAACGACGCCAATGGTTGTGATGGTGGCCCACTGCACGCGCCATCGCCAGGAGAGCCCATAACCGAATCGATAAGTCGAACTGGCGATCGAAATGAATCGGATCGGGGGAAATCGGCAGCCAAGTCGGGAGGAGTCGAATCGGCTGAAATTGGCAGAGTAGTAAGGCCTCGTTGAGAAATCGGAATCCAAATCGCAGTCTGGAGCCGAATCGCATCGGAATCGGAATCCATCGAAATCGAATCGGATCGAATCGGAAGAATCGAAACACGCCCTGCATCGTTGTCGACCATGGCCAGCGACCTGCCGCACTGCGAAGCCGACTGGCTGCGGACGCCGTGCCAACGCGTCGCCATGCCTGCCCGTCAGCTCCGAAGAAGATCTGTCACCATGCCCCCTGGAACGTTGAGGCGTGGTACGAATGTCGGGGGCGCGCAAGCATGGGTTACCGATCCATGGATTTGCCGCGCGGTCGCCAAATCCATGGATCGGTGGATCGGGGGAGATGCCCTCCCCCAAATGCGGCCGGTGCCGCCTCCGTCGGCCGCGGGAACCAGTGATTCCCTTTTGAAACGGGACCCGTCGCTAATCCACGCCCCCTTGCTCCATGTTTGCGATCGCCTGAGAATGCACCCCCTCCTCGCCACCTTGTCTCGCATGCACCGCCCCCCCCTCCCGAGACTTCCTTGGCGGCACGGCGCCTCCCCGGGCACTTCCCAAAGCTCTCAGAGGCGTCCAAGGCGGCCAGGAAAGGCCACCGAGGCCGCCAGTATGGCCCACATTGCCTAGATAGGCACGCGGCAGCTCCCCAGACGCCTCCAAGAAGCCCCCCAAAACGCCCCCGCTCTCGCCAGATCGGGCTTCTGGCAGCCTCCAGGCCTCCAAGAAAGCCCAGAGACGGCAACAGACGCCTCCGAGAGGGCCCTCAGACGGCCCAAGAGGCCCCGGAGACGGCCCCAGAGACCTCCACGACGGCCCGAACAAGTCCCCGAACGGCCAAGCGTCTCCCCCTCGACGGCCTCCGAAGGCGAAGGGGCCCCCTTGAGGCCAGCCAGAGGCCCCAGGAGATCCCCAAATAGCTTCCAGGAAGCCCCCAAAGGGCCCCAGGAGGCCTCCTCCTCCTCCTCCCGCTCCTCCTCCTCCTCCTCCTCCTCCTCCTCCTCCTCCTCCTCCTCCTCCTCCTCCTCCTCCTCCTCTATAAACATAAATGTTTGACGGCTCGCGCGGATTTCGTGCATCTGCGCTGGACCCCAGGGCGGCGCGAGAGGCGCTACCCAGAGAATGGCAGCACAGATCCGAGAATCCGCGCGGAGCTCCGAACGTTTATGCTGATGCCGCGGCTGCTTTCTAAGAAGCCTTCCCCTCTCCCCCATGCCCCCCCTGCGCGTGGCCGACTGGGGCCTGCACAGCCCGAAACCAATCCGAACTCTGCGAGTCACGGGGGGGTCTCGGGAGGCCTCTGGGGATCGCTTGGGGCCTCTGGGGCCCGAAGCAGAACGGCTCAACCTCGAACCGCGTGTCCCATAACTTCCCCTCGACACTCGGCGGTGGACACACCTACCTTTAGTAAACCACCCTTCAATGAAAACGGCCTGGGACCGAAACCGACGGACCTGGACCCGCAAAACTGACGGCCGCGACGCCCTCTCGCGAACCGAGAACGGCCAATCCGCCAATCGACGTGTCAAAATAAGGAAGTCTGTCAACCTCCGAGACAGACAAGTTGCGTTCCGCCCGCGTGCCGGCTCCGACTCGGAGCGCCGCGAGGGGCAGGCGTTGGCCACGCCCCCGGCCACCGCCGCTCGCGTGGTCGTCGTCGCCGCTCGCGTGGTCGTCTCCGTCTCCGTCGTGGTGGACGGGCAGCCTCGGCGGCGCGCGGGCGGGGGGGGTGCGGCCTCCTGCGGAGGAGGCACGGAGGTGTTCCTCGGAGCACCGCTCCTCCGACCCCACGTCCCCCACGGCGCGGCCTGGGCCCCGCTGGCCGACGTCCCCCCCCCCTAGACGGGGGACATGGGCTGTTCCCGTCGGGTTGCCAGGGGTACATCTCCCCGACTGGGGTGCTGAGATGGTGGGGGTCTTGACAGACATGGGGATGGGGATGGGGACAGGGGTCGGTTGAAGGATACTGCTTCTGAGACGGGCACCCGGGACCTCAGAGTGTGAGGGGTAGCGATGGGGGGGGACCTTGCAGAAGGGGGGGAAGCACCGACCTGGAGTCGGCGAGGCGTCGCCGATAGATTGACAGTAGCCTCCCCACAGCGAATCCGAACGTTCCTGGGCAGGTTGGGGATATCGGGCCCCGCCCGCGATCAATGGGCGATTGGGGTCGATGCGTCCCCCTGAATGCCGATCCGCCCCTATCGTTGCCCGCGAAATAAGGGCCCCTGGAAGTTGGCACCAAGGATGAGTACCTACCAGACCACCCCAACCCAACCCGACGAGTCGAACTTCGGGTTGGGGGGGTACGGGTTCCATATGTGTTCTTTCAATGCTCCTCGACCCCCCCTTCACACTGGAAATGGAGGGTAATTTGAAGCCTTCGGGTTGGGTTGGGGTGGCTCGGTGGGCGACAACAGGAGCCCCGCCGACCTTGGGGCTTCTAGTTGGCCCTGGAAGCGACAAAGCCGTTTATGTGCCCTTTCCGTTTTGCTTTTCTCTTCCCAATTTCGGCGCCGTTGTTTCCACTCGCATTTTGTTTCCGGGTTCTGGTTCCAGCTCCAATCCCGGAGACGTGTCTTGCCGTCTGGTCGCCGCTTCTTTACGGCTTCCACGTTCAAGAAACGCTTTTTCGGAAATGGTGGAGGAACGGCCCTGCCGCTTCCGCAGCCAACTAAGGTTTAGGCTGCTTATTCTTCAAACCCTCTTCTCCCCCTTCAGGGACGAATCTACCACTGCTCCGCCTGACCAGGGCGCACAGGCCCATCATCCCGTCCAAAAAAAACAATGTCAGCCAGCGTGGACCCCAAGCAGTGTGGTCTTGCACTATTTGCGGTGTATGCGGTGCAATCAAACTAGGTGGCGCAATCAATGGTGCAGTCTAGGTGTTGCAATCCATGTGGTGCAGTCTATGGAATGCGAACGACGCTATGCAAAGCCGTGCAAATCAATGTAAACCAATGCAAAGCGATGCAACCCGATGCAACGCGATCCAAATCAATGCAGATCAATGCAAAGCAATGCAATGCAACGCAACGCAACAGATTTCAAAGCAATGCAGACCGATGCAAAGCAGTGCAAAGCAACGCAAAGCAATGCAAAGCCACGAAAGCAACGAAAAGCAACGCAAGGCAACGCACATCAACACACAGCAATGTACAGCAATGCAACAGAATGTGAAGCAATGCAAATCACTACAACACCATTCAAAGCGGTGCAAAGCGATGCGAAGAAGTGCGAAGCGATGCAAAGCACTGCAAAGCAATGCAATTCAATGCCATGCAAAGCAGGTGGCGGCGACGGACGGCGGCGACGGGCCGCGACGGTCGGCCACAAGCCAGCGGGGGCGGCACTGGGGCCGAGCTGCGGCGGTGACGGACCGCGGCGACGGGCGGCGGCGGGCGGCCACGAGCTGGCAGCATCGACAATCAGGCCCAGGCCCGTAGAAGAGCGCGAAGAAGCCCAGAGTGCAAGCACTGTCTGGGGAATGACAACTCAACTCTCTGGCAGCGATCCTGCGCGGGCGCCCCGCGATCACTTTGCATCGTTGTCTGGGATGGTGGAGGCGCCCTGGCACGCGAGGCACACATCTCGCGGGGGTCGCGCCCCTGGCTGGCGCCTCATTGATTTCGCATCGTGGTCGAGGGCGGCCCCTGCCCGTGCTGAGACTCGAGTGCTACTCCTGTGGTGGGAGGCGGGAGGCCGGGTTAGAATGAGCGAAACGGCCGTCCTTCGGGGGCGTAGCAAGGAGGAGAGGAGGAGGAGGAGGAGAAGGAGGAAGAGGAGG